TGGGGAGAGGTGGTCCCGCAGGTATGATGGTCCCAGGCCACATAGGGCTTTTAAACGTCAAAACCATATCCTTGAACTGGATCTGGAACTCAGTCAGCAGCCAGTGCAGTTGATGCAATACCGGTTGAATGAGTGCCCGCGCAGGCATCGCCGTCAATAGGCATGCTGCTACATTCTGCACTAGGTGCAATTTCCGGATCAAGGTCAAGGGTAGCCCTGTTTAGAGTGAGTTACAGTAGTCAAGCCTGGAAATGACCATTGCATGGATCAGTGTAGCTAGGTCCCCGGGGGGCAAGATAAGGAACTAGTTGCCTGATTTGCCGAAGATGATAAAAGGCCGATCTGGCAACCAAAGTGACCTGGACCTCCATAGTAAGTGAGGGATCCAGCATCACCCCGAGACTCCTTACCCTCGGCGCCAGCCCCAGTGGTGCCCCACCGAAGACCAGGAGCCTGATTCAGGTACATGACTCAGGTACAGGACCTCAGTTTTCATTGGATTCAGCTTCAACTGACTCTGCTGCAACCATCCAGCCATGCCCCCAATGCCCAGTCCAAAATATTTGGAGCGGAGTCCTACCGTCCATCCTTCGGCAGGTAGAGCTGGGTGTCATCAGCATATTGATGACAACCCAGGCCAAACCCCCAGATCAGCTGAGTGAGGAGACACATTTAGATGTTAAATAACATAGGAGAGAGGATTGCTCCCTGTGGTACCCTGCATTCAAGTGGATATTGTGGGGATATCCTCTCCCCGACCATGGAGAAAGGAGGAAAGCCACTGTAAAACAGTCCCCCCATATACCAACGTCAGTAAGGTGGTGTGTCAGTAGATCATAATCGACTGTGTCAAGCACTGCTGTCAGATCTAAAAGCAACAGCGGCGTCAACCTGCCTTGATCCGTATGCCTCCAGAGAGGTCATCCATGAGGGCAACCAGCACAGTCTCTACCCTGTAACCAGGCTGGACTGGAAGGGATCCAGTATGGAAGTATCATCTAAGAAAGCCTGTAGCTGTTCAGCCACTGCCCTCTCAACCACCTTACCCAGAAATGGAAAGTTCGAAACCAGGCGGTAGGTGGTAAGGACCGCAGGATCCAGCAATGGTTTTTTGAGAAGTGGGAATACCACTGCCCCCTTCAAACCCACTGGGAATACCCCTGAGGGTAGGGGTAAATTGATAATATCTCCAAAGACGTGGGGGGGGGGGAGTAGCATTTCTAGGCCCAGCACAGAGATCAACAACAACAATTTTATTTTACAGTCAATGACCAGCATACACAAAGGTTTACATAAAATCAAACAATCAAATTTTGCAACTTTAAAAATTTCACTCAAGCTACCGTATGCATTTTCCGATCTTTGTACACCTGTGCACAAAATTTAGCCACTATTCGGGTCACAGAGATCCATCTTGGTAGCAAAGAATCAGGTGATATGTCGGCCTCATTGGGTGTGTGTGGGACAAGGGCAAGGAGCAGCGTTGTTCTGTAGAGTTGCAACAGTCGGGATCATGAGTAATAGGTGTATGTCAGGTATTGAGAAATGTGCTTTGTCCCAGTGTGTCCAAAGTTAGAATGATTATCATCAAGATAACTTTGAAAGAAATAAAATGGCTTTACGGGAGTTACCTGGTGGCTGTGAACAATGGCAAAAGGATTCGCCAGAGGTGACCTGTTCTGGGAGCAGGAGTTTACAGCACTGAATGCTATAGAGATTTGTGAGCTGTGGGAATGAAACACAAGGGTCATCTTGTGGCGGTAGAACTGCCTCTGCGTGTAAGAGGAGTCCTGCCTGTTTGGAGGAGACATGCAGCTTGCTCGTCTCTTTGAGATGGGAACCTAGAAGTGAATGGCCAAAAACAAACATTTTATGGTTCTGGGGACTCAACAATGCTCCGCAATGCTAGATTTCACTTTTCTCTCTTTTTATTGCAGGGATGGCTCTCCAGGTCAGCTTCCAGGGTTCTGCACAAGCTCAATAGCAGCATTGTTAGGGAGTACAGTTTAGACCAAAAGGTTGCATTAATCACTCTTGTCTCTGATGGCTCTTGCACCCTAATCCTGGTATTCTAAGATCCTGAGAGGACTGTAAAGTATCTTGCAGTTTGTTAAATCTATCAGTATTTTGCTCTTGTTGTCATTATATTCTTCGAGTACATGTGGTTTCACTGTAACCTTCCATATTTTAGAATTTAACAATTGCCCAGAACACAGCAAAGCTAACCTGCTTCTTGTTGTATGTAGGAATTCTGGTACTTGCACATTCTAGTCTGAAGGTTTCCTTTGCCTCCAGAAAACAGCCACAGTCAAGACTATTTCACCGTGCGTTCTTGGGCTTTCCTTCCCTGCAAAATTTGCTGCATCCACATGCTGATAGAATGGCTTTACGGGTAGATTAGACATAATTACCTATAATTAAAGCTTAAGAAGTACATGTGACAGATAAGACAAACTTCTTGAGACCTAAAATTTTACCAACCAACTGGGGAATATAATTTGCAGTTTATGTTGCTCCAGGAACTAAAAGTGCCCAAGGGGGTTCAGAATCTCATTTTGACTCACGCCTGTGTAACCTTATGGATGCTTTCCCCTGCTGCAGGAAGAAACCTCCCCCCCCCCCCGAGTTATGCTATTCATCAAGCTGAAGCTAGTTCAGACCTAATTCTCCTGTTTTGTTCTGTGGATCCACATAGCTGACGTCTGTGGCTTGAGCCTCTAAGAGATTAGCTAGATCTTTGTTGAGGTGGAACTGAAGGGCTGCATTTTGTTATTGAGTCTCCTCGTGTAGCTCAAAAGTTCTATCTGAGGCTTCGCTTTTTTTTTACCTTAAATTTCTGAAAACAAGGTAGCAAAAGTAGAGGCAGTGTAGTGTCTCCTAGGTCCTTCTGTTATTCCTTTGTTCTGCCAAAGAGCTTGGCTCTCAGCTCTCCCTTTTAAATACCACACAAGCTGCTCACAATGAGCTCGCACGCCGCCGAGTCTGCTGGCTGCCGGGGGGGGGGGGGGCTTGTGGTGGGGGGGGGAGAGACAGAAAGGAAGTCAGGGGGCCTTGGTAGGAAGTCAGGGTGTGTGGCCCCGAAATGCCCCACTGTAGCGTGCGCCTGTGGGCAGCTGCTAGCAAGAGAGCAAACTGCCTGTGTAGGAGAAAAAGCAGAACCACCATCACAAGGGTGGCAGCCACCCAGGAGAAGAGCCAGCTGGCCACAGTGGGAAGGTGGGTTAGGGTTAGGTGGTGGTGGTTTTACTCTCCTTTCTCCGCGGCCTGCTTGCTCTCCTCTGGACACCCTGACAATCTCACTCCCTTGCCCAGTCTGCTGAGCTTCATGCTGCAGAGAGAATGAGGAGGCAGAGAGGGAAGCCCCTCAGCTCCAGATACAAAAGGAGGGCTGGTTAGTCAAACGGTGGTGAGGGGAGGCGTGCATAGAGGAACTCTGATAATTTAACAGCTTCTAGCTACATATTTAACATTAGAAGCTATATGTTGTTGAGTGTGTGTTCTTGGTGGCAGACAGGGCTTTACAGTGATCACGTGGCTCTCTTGGTTGATGGTGATTGCAAATGTGGTTCTTTGTGATCCACTGTGTTAGATTGTTGGACTAGGATCTAGGAGACCCAGGTTCAAATTCCTACTCTGCCATGGTAATTCACTGGGTGACTTTGGGTCAGTCGCACAGTATTAACCTCACCCTACCTCACCAGGGTTGTTGTGAGGATCCAGTGGAGAAGAGAATCGTGTAAGCTGCTGTGAGTCCCCACTGGGGAGGAAGGCAGAGCCTAAGTGAAATAAGATCCAGGTGGGGCAGCCGTGTTGGTCTGAAGCAGCAGAACAGAGCCCAGTGGGGCACCTTTAGTTCAAGGCATAAGCTCGAATTAGTCAAAGGTATGAGCTTTTGTGTGCACAGCCACTTCTTCAGATACAGTGGAACAGAATTTCCTCAGCCATTAATGTAATGTAATGTTTCATTGTATCTGAAGAAGTGGGCATGCTCACGAAAGCTCATACCTTGAATCAAACTTTGTTGGTCTTAAAGGTGCCCCACTGGACTCAAACTTTGTTCATAAATAAAATAAATAAGCCTCTGGCCCTCAGTGACAAATGAATTGCCCCTCACTGCACTGTATCTTAATTACCATTACCTCTGTTAGAAGAAGAAGAAGAGAAGAGATTGGATTTATACTCTGCCCTTCACTCAGAGTCTCAGAGCAGCTTACAAACTCCTTTCCCTTCCCCTCCCCACAACAGACACCCTGTGAGGTGGGTGGGGCTGAGAGAGCTCTTGACAGGAACTGCTTTTTTTCAAGAACAGCTGTTATTAGAGCTATGGCTTGCCCAAGGCCATCCAGCCAGGTGCAAGTGGAGGAGTGGGGAATCAAACCCGGTTCTCACAGATTAGAGTCCGCACACTTAACCACGACACCGGACTGGCTTGTTATTGTCACCTTTCTAGCATGAGTTCTTAGGGGGCTTTCTGGGGTAGCCAAACTGTGGCTCTTGGCCTGCTTAAGAAGGCTCATAGCGAGGTAGCCCATAGTCAGCACTTATGCCTGGGGGAGCACTGGAAGCACTCTCCCTGTCCCTGCTTCTGTCAACAGTATAAACTGGAACTGGAAGGAACTCAAAGGCAGGATCATCCATCCACTGCCCCCAATGATCACAATTTTTTTTAAAAAACCATCTTTTTACTGTTCTTGGAATAAAAATAATAATAATTAATAATAATAATAATAATATACTTTATTGTCATTGTACATAGTACAACGAAATTAAGATGCAATCATTCAGTGATCTACAACCATACTCATATACACTCACACAACCATTCACAACCATCCCATAACCTGTACACATCTCTCTTTCTGTTGTCCAGCTAATTACCAAACTATATCAGTTCTGCTGTGCAAAGGAAAGATTATCAGTTTTATAGGATCGCTGTGTAATTATGTGTTCAGGTCTAGCTTACAGTGACGGTGTCTGTCTTCCTGGCTTGTCCTTTTCAGAATTTGTTCAACATGGTTGTGGAAGTACCTCGATGGACTAATGCTAAGATGGAGGTAAGTTCTTGACGAAACTGTAATTTGTGCCTTGGCTTTCTCTTACTCTTTAGCTTTGTGGGATTTTCGGTTTCACCATTTAAGGCTGCTTCCTCACCGAGGTGCATTTTCACACCTCTGCCGGGGCCAGAACAGCAAGCCAGGCAGGCAGGCATGTGTGGGAACACATCCGCTCCCTGTCCTGCTGCTCTCCTCCCCGTGTGCTTGTGCAAAGTGCAGGTGAGTTGGCAGTTGCACCTCAGCCCTCCGCTGGACCCTTGAGACCCCCTGTACCCACTGTAGTGTGGCTCAGCAGGGAAGGGGAAGCCTTTTAAAGGTCGAGAGAGGGATTCGAACCCAGTCATCCCAGGTCTTAGTTCTGAAAGTGGAGCTTATCTCTGACTCCCCCTTCCTGTAGGGGTACTGGAGACACTCCCCTGTGGACACGCTGAAGATTCCCTTTCAAACAAGGGGGGGATTTCCCCCCCTCTGGATTAAAGGGGAAATCCCTGGGAGCACCAGCAGTTTTGTTCGGGAATAATGGCAAAATCCAGGGTGTCTTTGCTTTCCATGCAGGGGGAAATATCCTTGTGGAAACTGCCAAAATCTGTTTGTTGGCTGAAGTAGTATCCATTCTAGATCAAGATACCAGATCTTAAATGTCTTTCTCTGCCATGAGAAGAGGGGTCATGGACAAACCAGTATTGCCTTCCGCCTGTCCTAATCGATAAGGGAAAGCCACGTATGCTGCCCTGAGCTCTTTGAAGAAAAGGCAGAATAAAAATCTTCTAGACAAGTCAAAGTACTGGATGCCTGCAGTTTTTCTAAGACTGTAAACCTGTGCATGTGGGAATAAATCCTCTACGCAGTGGGATTTCCTTTAGCGTAAGCGTGCATTGGTTTGCACTACATGTTTGTTAATAATGGGAAAACAATGCTAATGAAGTACCAACAGAATTAAGTACAAAATATGGGAGGTGTTCTTCGAAATACATTCCTTCAGCATTATTAAGACAGTGGCTGAATTTTCATAGCTCTTGTTCATCTGGCTATATAAAGTGTTCAGGATTAACTGGCACATCTGTATGAAAAGCCTCATCCTGCATTGATTAAATGGATTTACTTGTAGATTCTTCTATGAGTACTACACTAAGTGAACGATTCTGTTTCAGATTGCGACCAAAGATCCTTTAAACCCAATTAAACAAGATGTGAAGAAAGGAAAGCTACGTTATGTTGCTAATGTATTTCCTCACAAGGGATATATCTGGAATTATGGTGCTATTCCACAGGTATCTACTGTGCCTATTCTCTCTCTTTGGCTGTTGAGCATTAACGTTCATTGTGCTGTCTCTGGGAGGTATTATGTTTCAGTGCATCAAGTTAGGCAAGCAAAGTTTTGCCTGTCTCTCTTTTCCCCTTAACGCTAATAAGGGGAAACTTGTTTTCACTGCACAGCTAAGTAGTTGGCGTGCTCTCAGGAGAAAGCGGAGAGCGCCCTGTGTGTTGTAAACAAGCAGGTTATTTGTGCTTCAAGGGACCCAGTGGCTGCAGAGGAACCCAGTCTCCTAACCTGAGAGGCTTCTGAACTACGTTGAGCACCTGAAGAGCCAGTGCTGGTGGAAGGAAAGGTTGGATAGAGATTGACTCAACATTTAGTTTGTTCTGATATGCAGAATGTTAACCCACCATGAGATGGATTGGCTCAATCAAAGAAACCACAGCTCCCGGTTTGCAACAGCCTTTTCCAGGTTTTAACAACAGGATGTTTTGGAGGTCATTAATCCATGGGGTTGCCATAAGTCGGAGGCGACTTGATAGCACTACACACACACACAAAACGGGGCTACTCGACCTTCTGTCGTTCCACAGGGCCTGCAAAATGGAGCTGTTCCGCCAGGTCTTTGGCTGAGGTGGCAGGCATCTGTCTTGCTTGGCCTCCCTGCTCTAGTTCCCAATTTGCTGAAAGGGCCCCTTTGATTCCACCCTAACAGATTGATATGAAACTGCTGCTACCTGTGTGAATTTTATTGTTTATTGTTTTAGTGATTTTAATGTGATTTTATTGTAACGAGTCTTGGACTTGATTTCCTGTGATCCGTCCTGAGCCCACTGTGGGGAGGGCGGAATAAAGATCTCAAAATAAAAGAAATAAAACAGAGAACAGGCAAACCTTGTCTTCTGAAGCTGGGTCACACTGGGTTGGATCCAATCACTTTTTCCACTGATGGGAAAAGGGAGAAAGGGGGGGGGACCCTCCTTTTGTTCACCAAAAAACCTATGTTTGGGATCACAGGACCTGCATGGATAAAAGCCATGCGAAGTTGGAGCTGTAATAAGGAGGGGAAGTGGCCAAGACTGAGCAAAAAAGCTGCTTGGATCCAACTAACTATATAGCACAAGCATTTGCAATATGGTCTTTTAATTACTTTTAGGCACCTTACATCCAAGAGGTGTGTGCTCCTTGTCTCTGGTCAGTCGCTGCCAGTATTCTTGCTGTTTTCTGCCTGCTGTAAAATCCTCTAATTTTTTTGTGGAGAAAGGATCACGGAAAGTACTCTGATAACATTGTCAGGGACATCTTCGTCATCGGTTGGCATTGTGCCTTCCAGCTCCTGGAGGTCTCTGTTAGACTTCCAAGCTTGTCTTCTAACATGTGTGCTCAAGTTTCCCAAGTCTGTTTGCAAAATCACCTCTTGCTTGCTTTGCGCATGTAGATTTTGTTTTGTATTGATCCTGTCAGGAATACTCTGACTGCTTTCAAGCTGGTCAGAGTATATGATTCCAGTTGAATTGAGCTTGCCAGGATATTTGTAAAAATGCTGTTGTGTAAAATGTTCCGGGCTTGGTGTCTTGCCAAGTTCATAATGATTCTACTTCTGACCTGGAGGGAAGTTGGGTCAGTTTCTATTAAAGCAGTCATAAATGGCAGTTTCCCTCTGGCAAGTGTGATTGTTGCTTCCCTGCAAGCTGCCACTCTTCTAAATGTACATGCGCACGAGTCTCTTGGCCTTACCTTCATGTGAGCAAGTCTGTGTTTGTTACACATGTGCAAATGCCACATAAAAGAAAAATCAAATGTTTTGTGTACTTGATGAAATGGTCTGATGCTAGTCTGAAATTAGTATCTCCTAGTTCCTTCTGTTATTCCTTTGTTCTGGCAAGAGAAATTGCTGCTGCCAGCTGTTCTGAATGGCTGTTAATTTGCAGCAGCCAATTTTGAGGCTGCCTTAGAAGGCTTCAAGGGGGAAAAATCAATGTAATTTCTTTCTTCCTTAATAATGTAAAATGGTAATTATTTAAGCTGCCCGATGTCAGTGATGAGTCAGGACACGTATTTAAGACTTTGATCTGCCTTCCCCCCCCCCCCCTTCGACCGTGGGAAGATCCTGGACATAAAGATGAAAATACTGGCTGCTGTGGAGATAATGATCCAATTGATGTTTGTGAAATTGGAAGCAAGGTAACCAAGTTCTTAAACTGCAGGTGCTCATCGTGGGATAGATAATCTGCAATCCTCAGCAGCTGTGAAACTTCCATTTCACTAAATGCTTCATTGCATTTGGCTCCTCAAACAGCTGTTGCTATAAACTTGCTTTTAGGGTATTATAATGAAATGTGATGGTAAAATCATAGCTGGTTTAGATGGAGACTCCTTATTGGCTGGGATGCTCCTTTCCTTTTTACTTCCATGTCAAGCTGCAGTTTCTTGTTATCTCTGAACCAGACAAACTGTAGCTTTGCACAAACTGGGGGTCTTCCAGAAGGAGAAGAACATAAGTGTGAACGTGGGGGTGGAAGAAGAATGTCATGCAAGACTACTGTTCTGGAACAAATGACCCAAACTATGTTTTGAACATTACATCTGAGCTCACGAGATCATATGAGTGGCTGATAACTTGGTCTGTGTAGGAAGCCATATTGGAAATCTATGAAGAGTTGGAGAGTTTTTCTTAAGCTGCTTAAATGGGAATTCTTCACGTAGCGTTTATTGTTGCTGTGACTGCAGAGGCATGTTCACTGGTGAAAGAGCTTCTGCTTGGGGGGGTTTCTTTCCTCTATCTGTTTGCTGATTCTTCCCTTCCATGCATGTTCTTCATTGGCTCTTTGGTGCATGGTCATTGCAGGTGCCATGGGGATTCATCACCTCTTTTTAAAATTTGAACATGCACTACAGCACAGTATCAGCTTACAAATAATATCCCTGCAGTCGTCTTGAACGTTCTCCTCCCCATTCTTTTCCAGGCAGTGGGGACCAAAGCTGCCTGCACCTTTTCAAAGGAAAAGATATAAAGATATCGCCGCAAAGAAAGACTGTAGACATTCATGTTTTAAAATGAAAGCTGAGTTCAGAAGAACTAAAATTTGAAATGGAAATAGATAAGTGGTAATAGACTGCTATAATGCAATAGCGATTGCTGTTGTTTTTTAAAGCCCACAGACACTACAGCAGAGTTACTCATGGCACCCACCAACACCTTACCTGGCGCAGTGTTGTTTTTATGTTCTCCCTCATTCCTCTTTTCTGCTGTATTTTTTAAAATTCCTCCTCTTGTACCCTTTGCTTGGGCGTGTGTGTGTGACTCCAGTTCCAATGGTAGCCATTTTGTGATTGCACACACCACCCTGTGTCAGGATTCCAAAGATACAACAACAAACAATACAGAACACAATAGGAAATAGCAAAGAAAAACATAAAACAACTGTGAGCTGAATATCCCGCAGAAAATATACAAAAAGAGATTTCAACAAAGTGAAATGCATATAGAGTGTGAAATGAATCTATTCATATAATCCCTCATAGGAAAATACAGAAACCCAACAAGATCCATAACAGGAAAATACAGAGTCCAGAGTATAAATATACAAGATAAATATCCAACATTTTTCCTAGGTAATTTTCAGTGTTTCAGACTTATGGTCCTTCCTCAGGAATATAGGATAATGCTATTCTGTTTCTTCAACATTGGGCAAGGTCTCCTAAACTCTAGTCAGCACCTCTAAAGGCTGCTTCTATGTAACAGGACCAAAACATGCCTCCAGGAAATGGAATGAGACTCCCAATAGTTGTTCTGGACCAGTGTTCCCTCTAAAGCTGAGTTAGTGTGAGCTAGCTCACAGTTTTTTAGCCTCCAGCTCACAGGTTTTTGTCTTAGCTCAGGAAGGATGGCTCCAGAGCAAACTAATGTATGCAGTAGCCAAATCTCTCACTCACAACTTTAATGCCAGTAGCTCACAAAGTAGAATTTTTGCTCACAGGACTCCACAGCTTAGAGGGAGCATTGCCCTGGACTCTGTATTTTCCTATTATGGATCTTTTTGGCTTCCATATTTTCCTATGAGGGATGATATGAATAGATTCATTTCATACTCTATATACATTTCACTTTGTTGAAGTCTCCTTTTGTATATTTTCTGTGGGATATTCAGCTCACAGTTGTTTTCTGTTTTTCTTTGCAAGGATTCCAAAGATGCCACACAGGCGCAAAATGTCTGGGGACACCTGCTCTGGCAGAACTAATAACACTTCAGCATATTGCTGAACAATGGGATAGACAGTGAGCTATACTCCTTTCAGCTTTAGCTACTCTAGCTTATTAGACTTAGGAAGTTGACATTTGAGTAAGTGTTTCTCCTCTAGGTGTGCAGCAGAGGAGAAGTAATTCAAGTGAAAGTCCTTGGTACACTGGCACTGATTGACGAAGGTGAGACAGACTGGAAAGTCATTGCAATCAATGTCGAAGACCCTGAAGCTGCTAGTTATGAGAGTGAGTATCACCAAAGCAAGGGGAGGGGTATATACATCTTTGGGTTTTGCTTTTCCCCACTTATTGAAAACCCCTTTAAATCCTCTGCATGGCAGGTTGAGGACTTTGTGCACAGCAAGGCTGACGTGATGTTTGTTTAATGAGAAGTGCATATTCCCAAATATGTAGTAGACTGTGTGGCAGGCAGGCTGTTGCCACCATTGGAGCTCAAATCTTATGGGAAGGGGATAACGGGAATCTCGCTGCTCTTGAACTGAATATGAATTTGCATGGGTAATCTAAAGAAGACATGAGAAAAGTCTGTTGAATCCCCATCATTTACAATGTCAGTTTCGGAGGACTTGAACCAAGTGTTGTTGTAGCTGAATTTTAGGTTCCATATTCCAAGAAACAGAGCCCAGATCTGGGTTGTCTGCTGCAGCAATATCAGGCATTATTGCCCTGAGACTCTTCTAGATAGAGGCCAGTCAGAAAGAAGGGGTTTTTTGGTATTGTCAGAGCTATAGAAACCTCTGTACCTAGCCCCCAGCCCCAATCATACAGCATGGGCAGGTCTTCAAGTCAGTGTCAGCTCACACCACTTTTGTCAGAAGCAGCCTATTTTAAAATTATTCTTTGCTGGATGCACTTGCTTCTGGGGTTTCAGCACGTAATGAAATGTTGGTATGGATAGTGTGTGACTATCCATTGGAATCCATACTGTGTGGACTATTTATGGTGATCAAGCAGGACTGTCAAACTCAGCATCTGCTAGAAAATTCTAATAACACCACTACCTTAGATTTGTACCTTTTTGGGCAACTTATTTATTTAAATTTATTTAAAATACTTGTGTTTCAGAAGTTCTACAAAAATGTCAATCCCCTTAAACACCCCAAGTTGCTGTACGAACGGCCACTATGAGCTTCAGAAGGGCAGGGTATACATCTTTATTAAAAAGGAAGCTATTAAGAAACTTACATTTTTGGTGGGGAATGTATTTGAATTTGGGCCACATACCCTCTAGTTTACAGTCACTGATATTGTTAGTAGGATGCGTAATGTCACATAGCTGTCCTTTTGGACTAGAGTCTGAATATATGCTTCCCCCCATCAGCTATTGATGACGTCAGGAGGCTTAAACCAGGATACTTGGAAGCTACAGTGGATTGGTTTAGAAGATACAAAGTGCCTGATGGGAAGCCAGAAAATAAATTTGCGTTCAATGGAGAATATAAAGGCAAGGTATGTGTTTGTGTGTGTGCTACCTAAAGTCGGCCAAAGCTTGACAGGTTAAGCCTCTGCTGTTCTGCATTAGTAAAAAAACAAAAAATCAAAAGCATAAAATATGTTTGTACACACGATCCCAGAAATAGTGTGTGTGGGATGCAGCTCTTTCTGTACAAACTCAGAATCCAAAAGGATGAAGCAGATATGTACAGAAGACAAAGATGAAGGCTGGAAAAATTGGGGAGGAACTGGAATGGGACAGTGTAAAATCCTCTGTTTGCACAAATGTATCTTAAGGTTTCCTTATGCCTGAAGAAATTCTTAATCCAAGGCATTGTTGCATCATAACTGTTTACAAGGGGTGTTGAACTGTATTTTCCTTTTCCAAAATTGTAGGACTTTGCATTAGACATCATCAAAAACACTCATGACTGCTGGAAAGCTCTAATATATAAAAAGAAAGATGGGGGAGAAATGAACTGGTGAGTTCCTGTCCTGCTGCTGCAGCTGCTGTAGGTGGTGGAAATGACAGTTGTGTGCACATTACACAACTGTTGCTGTACATCCATGCATCATTCAGCACAAATACTTTATTGTGTCTTGCTAAACATTATGGGCATTTTTTCAAGATTCCCGTGGTTGAATAATGCACTCTCAAGAAAAGTTGGCTATTTTTACAACTGAGTTTTCTCTTCTAGCACAAATGCAACTTTATCGGATAGTCCTTTCCATTGCAATCAAGCAACTGCTAAAACTATTGTGGATGCGGTAGGTAACTCTGGTTAACTCAGCTACGCCTGGCATGTTGGGTTTCCATTCTAATTGGCTATTCTGTGGTTCCACTCCAGTGCAGAAAAGTTGCTGATTGAAAGGCTTAGCTTTGATCATTTTTTTAAAAAGCAGTTCTAGCCTTTATGGGTACAACAGTAGGCTTTAAGGTATATATACCCCAGATGTCACCCAGTCTTGATCTAAAGGATGCTGAGTAGAATTTGGGTGATTTAACAAGTGGGCCTGCCTATGCCCTGGGGAGATCACAGCAAGAATCCCTTTCTGCCACATGGACACTCATTAAGACAGTAGCTGAATTTGGAAAGCACAAGGGACAAACACTGTATTATGATTCTGTTGTCATTAAATGTTTTGTGCAAACTAGGTACATTGTACCGACCACTGTAAGCCGCCCTGAGCCTGTTCGCGGGGAGGGCGGGGTATAAATACAATAAATAAATAATAATTTATTTATTCTAGAACAATGTTTTCTCACCGGCACTTGACATGCAGATGATTTTTTTTTTAAATCCCTGGAACAAGATTACTTAGTTACATGCTTCATTCTTTTGGATAAAATCTTCAAATGTGCATGTTTAAAGATTGTTGGTTCTTTCTGCAGTTAGCACTGCTATGGGGTGCTAACTGAAAGCTATACGTAGGTTTACTGCAATTCCATAGATACTTCACCTATCAGAATTCAACTAATTGTTAATGACTGATTAATAATGGGTGGTTAGGTCCTGTTCATTTTTTCTGTGAGAGACTAACACTGTTACCCCTTTAGAACAATAATTTTGTATGTGATGTGATCTCAATTTCAGGTATCCGTCTGTGGACCTGCCAATCCAATACCAGCTGATGGTAAGCTTTCTGACTTCAAACTATCTGAGAATGGTATGAGGCTTTTGTCTATTAGAAATCCTGGAATTAATTATACCCATCCTGTATCAGAACTTAAGGTGCTTTGTCTGCAATATTACTTACACCAGAAATTGTCAACCACTCAATGTTTACCCTTTTATAAACTTGAGACACATGGTCCAACATTAAAACACTTTACATCTTTGGTCTATGACCCAATGTCTTCAGGCTGCTTTTATCATCTCTTCCCTGTTCATGTTCTTGAAAAAAAAAAGGCATTACCCATAGACGTTAATCTGTGCAATGTCACATAAAAGCTTGATGTGTGCCAAGCAAAGCCTCCCTGAAGCTGTTCCAGGACAGTTCCTTTATGTTGCAACTTTGTGCCTCCACAGGACACAAGTCTCTGGCTGTTTCTTTACTCTCCCTTATGGGCCGTGGATTAATAGGAAATTTGGCCCTGCATAACTGTGAAGTCACTTCAAATTGTCATGGTGGCCTGCAATACTTCCTCTAAGCTGTGGAGTCTTGTGAGGAAAAAATTCTACTTTGTGAGCTACTGGCGTTAAAGTTGTGAGCGAGAGATTTGGCTACTGCATAAATTAGTCTGCTCTAGAGCCATCCTTCCTGAGCCAAGACAAAAATGTGTGAGCTAGAGGCTAAAAAACTGTGAGCTGGGGCTTCCGGTCGTGCCAAGATGGCGAATTAAAGCACCCCCGCGATTCTCCGGGGGTGGTCGGCGGCTCTTTAGACAGTTTGGGCAGTTCATAGCCCAAAGCAACGCTCCCCAGAGAGGGGGGGTGTCCGGCAGGCAGCGGTGCCCAAGCGGGAGTAAGAGATTGGCCTGATCAAGCTTCAACAAGGGGAAAAGTAAGTGAACTAAAAGAAGCAATGCAATCCCGGTATAGACGCGCTAGATAACAACTAAACGCTCCGCTTACCTGAACTTGATCTTAACGTGTTTCGGACCCGAGCGGTTAAGCGGATAATGAGCAGACGATCCCAGTGACTAATTCCGGAAAAAAATTGACTTGATCTAAAGCTTTAAAAACGGAAAAATCGCTATTGTTGAACATTCCTGCGGTTAGTTAGAGATACGTGCGCAACAGAGAAACGAAACTGACGAAAAACATCGCGGGAAGAAAGGGGCCGGAGTACCAGTAAACCTCTTCCGACAACAGACAACCAGTGAGTATATCTCCTAGAGAAAATCGGAACAACCGGAAGGAGTCGGAAGAAGACTAGCGGGGAACCGGATGTAAGCGCAAGCGCACAGACGGGGCCCGGAACAGCTAAAACCGACCTACTCTACCCAGAAAACCATAGAGAAGTTGTGCCCGACATTTTGAGGAGGACCCGATTTCAAATTGCTTTTTTAAAGGTTTTAAAGCTATCTGATTCAAGCGAAAAGAAGGTGAATAGCCTGCATGCATATAAGGTTTTGGACAATACTACCAAATTGAATTTTTAAAGTGAAAAGAGTAATCGCCAAGACGGAGACCAGAAGAACAAGAACAGGCTCAGAAGCGTCTGCAGCAGCAAGACCCAGGGTAGCCTCAATTTCTACACCAAAAATGTCATCAAAGGAAAAGAAGGAGATGCAAGCTGCAATGGAAGCAATGGAAAAGAGGATGACTGAGGCGATCCAGGCGATGGGAACTCAGATAGAACAGCACTTAGAGAAGCAAATAGAAAAGCAAACCCAAGCGCATTTAAAGCAACTAGAAGAGGCCCAAGAAAAAAACATTACCGCAATAAAAGAGCTGGTAAAGACAGAAATAACATCGATCAAGCAAGAAGTGGAAGGAGCCAACAAGGTCATACAAGACATGGCAACCAAGGTAACAGAGGTGGAAGAGAAAGTACAAGAAACAGAGAAGAAACATGATTCCCTGACACAGCAATTTAGAAGATCAGAAGCAATGACAGAATTCAGACGATTGCAGACCCATCTGAGATTTAGGGGAATAGCCGAGAAAGAAGAAGAGGACATTAGAGAGACAATGATGAAGGCAATAACAACATATTTAGAAGAAGATGATGGGGATCTGGATAGTGAATTTGATTTAATCTACAGAGTGAATTCTAGAATCGCAGAGAAGAAAAACTTACCAAGAGATGTCATTGTGCAATTTTTAACCAGAAAGACGACCGAAGACATTTTCAAGAAACAATTTACTGAACTGCTGATGATAGAAGGCAACAAAGTTATGATAATGAGAGAGCTCCCAAGATCAATCTTGCAAGATAGAAGAAGATACAAAGCACTAGCGGACAAACTGAAGACCATGAACATCAGGTTTAGATGGGAGATTCCACAAGGGTTGTCCTTTAGTTACAAAGGAGGAAGAATTGTTATTAGGTCGGTGGAGGACATGTATAGATTTAAAGCGGACAATTTAGATGAATTTGGTGAAATATAATAAACTGCACAATGGAAGTTAAGCTGTTGTCATGGAATGTTAATGGACTAAATTCACCGAATAAGAGGAATAGAGTTAAGTGTTGGATACAAAAACAAAAATGCAAC